ATCCTCGTAGTTTCAATTTTCTCGATTTTGACAGGGACTAAATTGACACATTGTGGAAAATACAAAGACGAAATTAACACATTGTTTGAATTTTCATTAAATTAACTTAACAATTATTATTTGTTGGACTAAAATGACACAATCCGTTAAATTAAGGGGCAAAATCAAGCAAATTGAAACTATAATGACCAAATTGACATATCGTGTAAACTACATGGACTTTTTGCATAATTTGCTAAAATAAAAATTCATTTAAGTGGATGTTTGAAAAACTATTTTCAAATTAATGATAAACTTTACAAACATTAAAAAGTAAAATTATAAACTTTTTTCATTATTTTGTAATTAATTTTTGATCAGTCCACTGACATGTGATTTTTTCCTTAAAGAAATTCAGAACATTGACAAAGTTTACAAATTTTAATAATTAAAATAATAAATTTTTTCATCAAACTATAATTATTTTGGAAATGTTTCACTAATGTATAATTTTTTCAAAATTATTTTGTGATCCAAAGGTGTCACGTAACAATATCTCTCACCAATCACTATATTCGTTATTTTTTTTTCCATGACTCAATACAAAATCATGATCTCATTTTCATAACACACATGAACCGCTATGTGACTATGCCCTTAGACCACCAATTTATTTCTAGGGTTGAGATAGTTTGCTGCTTCCAATAATCGAGTAGTCAATTTAGAATGCAGGCTTGTGCTTCATGCTTTTCAATTTTTTTTTCGCATCAATGTAGAAAGATAAAAAATGAGAATATAATTTTTTTTCACTTTTTCTTTCATGTTTAAATAAGTTTTACTCTTTTTTTTTGGAAAAAAGGCAGATATTTAAAGGAAAATAAAGGAATAAACCATATATAAAAGCAAATAGTTCTTTCTCTCACTTAATTCATGTACATAGAATAAAAAAAATAAAGTTAAAAAAATAAAAAGAGGGAAGAAATTCTGGATTCATATAACCTGTTATGAACTGGGTGGGACCACTTAGCCAATTTGAAGAGTATATGAAATGAGATTAATAAGCTCAAATTTCTTTTCTTTTCTTTTTAATTTTTTTTACTTTTTCATATAATCTAATTCTGGAAGGATCTAAAATGGAAAAATAAAAAAATTACTAACTAAAAAAAAAATCAACTTTTTAAATTATTTTTGTCTTTGAAGTTTTTTTTTTTGTCTGAATATTATTTCAGATCCTTCTACAAGTAAACAGGGTCAAAATTGAAAGAATTTCAATATAGAAAAGTCATTCAAGAATGAGCAACTGAGGGTCCACAAAATGCTTCTATTCCATTCCCATCTCATAAAAGACCAATTTGGTCCTCAAAAAGTGTTTTTCCATTTTCTGTTTTCTTATTTTTTTTCAATCTTTAGTAATTTTTTTATTTTTTCTTTTTATTTTTTACTTCTTAAATCCACATAAAGTACAATATATGTAAAAAATTCGGGGAAAAATCTCACTAAAGACCAAAAAAATATGTAGATGTGCTGAAAAAAAAATTAAAAATTAAACCACACAAACCCCAAAAATCTAGGCTTAAAACTTCTTACAAAAATATTTTACCATTGTTAAAGCCAAAGAAACACCATAATCTGTGCTTTAGGTGTGCAGGTATTTGGACGTAACAGCAAACTAAAATAACAACCACATGTCTAACCCAACTAAATGCCCCACTGACCAAAAGTTTAGTTTTCAAACCAAAACACAATGCCAATAGGAACTCAAAAACTTAGAAGTTTGAAAACCTCCCAAAATCTCACTTTGCAATCCCAAAGATAAAACACATGGCTTGGAAGACTATCCCAAACCATTGTTTCAATTCCCGCACAATGTTGGGCAAAGTCGGCCTCTATCGACCTTCCTGCTTGACACCAAAAAACAATAAGAACCTGTTAGAAAGCAAAGGGACTGAAGCTTACAAGTAGAAAAACATAAAATACAGTTCCACTTCCACGTAGCAAAAACATATTAAAATGTCTCAAATCTGCTGGAACGAGAAAAACAAGTAGTGCTAAGCCAATAATGCACTTGTCAAACCTGGCCAAGGCTGACAAAAACGATCCCCATGTTCTCTATATTGCTTATACAAATAAAATTTTCAACAAAAGTATCATGATATCCTGTTGAATCTATTTTAAGGAAACATCGAAGATAAATTATAGGTTCCTCACCACTCTTCCATTGTTGACCAAGGTGTGTTCCCATGGAAGAGCATCACCTCCTTCACATGGGGTGAATTCAACAGTAAATGCCCCACTGACCAAAAGTTTAGTTTTCAAACCAAAACACAATGCCAATAGGAACTCAAAAACTTAGAAGTTTGAAAACCTCCCAAAATCTCACTTTGCAATGCCAAAGATAAAACACATGGCTTGGAAGACTATCCCAAACTATTGTTTCAATTCCTGCGCATTGTTGCGCAAAGCCAGCCTCTATCGACCTTCCTACTTGAGACTAAAAAACAACGAGAACCTGTTAGAAAGCAAAGGGACAGAAGCTTACAAGTAGAAAAACATAAAACACAGTTCCACTTCCACGTAGCAAAAACATATTAAAATCTCTCAAATCTGCTGGAATGAGAAAAACATGTAGTGCTAAGCCAATAATGCACTTGTCAAACCTGGCCAAAGCTGACAAAAACGATCCCCACGTTCTCTATATTGCTTATACAAATAAAATTTTCAACAAAAGTATCATGATATCCTGTTGAATCTATTTTAAGGAAACATCGAAGATAAATTATAGGTTCCTCACCACTGGGGTTTGTAATCTGTTACAACATAACCATCCCATGATTCTGAATCAATAGACCTTCAGCACCAAAGCATTGTAGTCTTCCTTTTGTGTTTGTTATACAGCTCTACTGTCTAATCTGAAACAAGAAGTTTGAATGTGCAGTTAATGCAGGCCGGATGAGCATTGAAGGCTTGGACTTTGAAGCAGAAGCAGAGCAGAAAAATGAACATATTCACCAGAATATTTAAATAACATTCTGGAATTCCTGCCCTCATCTTTGTCATGCTGAACAGGGTTGTGATGCCTCTAATCTTGAAATCCATTTTGCGTCTACGTTCCTTTGTGATTCTGTTGTGCTTTCTATTGTTCCCTTGGCAGTAATCAATTCTAATGTATTAACCTTCTGGATGGTTTTATCTACTTACATTATCAGTATGCATGCATGTATGTATGCATCTAACTTTTTGGCAAGTATTTCTAATCAAATTGAAATTTTTTTTAACATCCAGTTATCACAGATGTAGGGTCTCAACAATTCTCCAACTCTGTACTACTCGGCTGCCTTTGCTAAAAACATGTGTTTCAACTAAATAGTTAGTAGCTAAAAAAATAAAATAAAACAAAAAACTTTTGGCAACTAAAATTTTAGTAGCCAAATAAAAAAATAGACTTTAGGTGACTAAATTTTTAGTTGTTAAAAAAAATTACACTTTAGGCAACTGAAACATTTGTAGCTAAAAAAATAAGATGAACAAAAAAATCTTTCTGGCTACTAAATAAGGTAGTCGTGGAAAATAAATTTAGTTTTGGCGACTAAATGTTTTAGTCGCTGAAAATGCAATATTATTTTTTTTTGAAAGCTTTTGGCGACTAAAAGATTGGTCGCTAATTTAGCCTATCAACGACTAAAGTTTTTTTGTCGCCAATACCTTTACTTTTGACGACTACTTGTTTAGTTGCCAATTGAGGACTTTCGGCGACTTAAATTTTTTTAGTCGCCAATACCTTCACCGACCGTCTTTTCGCGACCAAGTCGGCGACCAAACTATTTAGTCGGGAAAACCTTTTGGCGACTAAAATATGACTTTTTGGCTATTAAAAATTTAGTCGTCAAAAGTACAATTTCTTGTAGTGAGTCTTTCCTCGCAAGAAGTCCAAAATACAAGAGAAAACCCCCTGTCAAGCTACAATATGAAATGTTCCATCTAGTAAAACCAACAAAAAGTGGAGAGGATTGAAGGTCAAAGGCATAGAAAAGCTACCCCTAAGGGTGTGTGTTTGGATCAAGGATTTTAGGAGGGATTTCTGGAGGGAAAGGAAATAGTTAAGGAAATAGGAATGGAAAAGTGATTGAAATATAAGTTAGATTTTTGTTAAGTTTTCTCATTCTTTTTCCTTTTCATTTCCAATTCACTCTTCAAATCCTTGCTTCAAACACAATTTTCCCCTCTGTGCCGTTTTTGTCTTTACCATGCTGTTTACCCTTACGAAAATAATGCAGAGCTGTTGTATACTTGTATTAGAAGGCAAATGTGTAGAGGATCTATTTTTTCCCTCTTTACCGCCCAGAGGGAAACTCTCCCCTCCTCTTTGCCTTTCCCTTTACCTTTCCTTTCTAACAAAAGGATTTTCATCTCCGAGATGGATGTTCTAACAAGTGTGATACAAGTGGTCTTTTTTTGGTCGAATGCGGAGCCATTTAATTTCCATTTGCCCATATTGTACCTAATTTATTGTGACTATATGTGCGGAACAATTCAAAGATAAATAAGAAATTCAGCAAGAGTTTTGTTTATTATCAGATTAAATGCTTCTTCTTTTTCGTCTTCTTCTTCAATAGTTAAATGTTCTAACCCGTTTAATTATTGTTACTACATGTGCAGTACAATTCAAAGGTAAACAATTCTGATCATGCTTTTCTTTTTTATTTTTCTTGGAGGTTCTGAAACTTGAGATGTCTATTGCTAGATTTCAGCAATATGTTTTCCTTATCAGAAATGAATCCACAATGGATCCAAAATGGCTTTTTTGAAGGGAAAAAAGCAACTACAATCGAGGTAAAGTTTCCATTCAAATGATTTTTTTGCTTTCTGATTGTGTTAAGATGGTGGGGAAAATTCACATTATGTATGCTAAGCCCTGTCAGCATAGAATCTTCTTTATCTCAGAATAACGGGGAGGAATAGATGAAAGCTTGAAATGAAAAGGAATTGTAGACACTGATATACACTCAAAAAGAGCCAGGAAATCAACACAATAGTAGGATTAGCATTCAAATGCAACAGTTAACTTGAAGAAATACATTCATTATTTCAATGAAACACAATGATTGATATTTCAATTCCATGATATCAACAGGTGTTCTGGACTAGCTCATTATTCAGACACTTCAAAGAACCAAGCGAAGAAAGCTATAAATCAAGAAAGAAACAGCTTATGATGGAAAATGTTCCAAACAATTAATTGTGAACAAGCATTGATTTCGGATCTCATGACATCAGTAGGACCCCCAAGCTGGATTTACTGATTGCACCTGAGGAAGGGACAGAGTGACAGCTACACTTGAATCAAACCAACCAAGCTTCTCCACGAGCCTCTTGATTAATTCACCTGCAGCATAAGAAATGCCTGAGGCCATAACTGCCATACCAATATAGTATAGTACAGTTTTGATATATGCGTAAAAGTTGGGTTTCTTCTGGATGTAAGCCTTCCCAATTGCAAGTATAGCAATGCACAGAAGAGAAGCTGCTGCGACTACCACAAGCTTTAGGTCCTTGTCATCAGTCTGGCGAAATGAGAAGCCGTAAGTTACCGGAGGGATTAAGCCAAAAATGAGGAACGCTAGCACAGCAACTGTTGCATGAAGTAAGAAATTGTCTGTCTGGCCCAGTAATTCTTTGTACCTAGACCCTTCATTTTTTAGTTCCCTAAGCTGCAAGATTACGTGTTAGTTCAAGACGCAAGAAAGAGAATTAACCTGAAAATGACAAATTAGGAAAAGATTTTGCCTCACATAATATGAAGTATGAATGATTTGAAGAATAATGTCCTATATATATATATATTTTGATCAACAACAAAGGACTTTGTTGAAGAATAATGTCCTATATGCAACCCCATAGTTTGTTATTATGAGACAACAAGAAGATCAAGTTTAATATTCTGAATAAATTGTCCTGTCAATTGATGTAGCTTATTATTCACACACCCAAACAAGAGGAAAAATTTTCATCCATACTTTGAAAGGAATAAAAATAAGAATAAAAAAGAGAAAAGGATAGATTTTATTACGCTTGAATGTCTTCGAAGTTGATAGAATGGATAATTGGCAGAAGAAACTAGTGATGATATAGAGAGTTGAGAGGGTAATTTTTGGGAAAGAATTGGGCCGAGCTGTGAGTTGGGCCCTGCGGCCCAAAGTGTGAAGGAATCGATAAAAAGCTGTAGTGTAACTTCGGCCCATAGAGGTGAGATTACTCCGGCTCAGAGAAGAAATAGTTACTTCGGCCTAAGGAAGAATAAAGCTACTCCGGTCGGAGGCAACTTGGAGTTAGGCCGGTCTCAGAATTAGTCCGGTCGCGATATGTACAGGGAAGGCTGGTTTCGGGATTAGTCCGGTCGTCACATACTATGGTTAGGTCGGTCAGAACTTGTTACTGGGAAGGTTGACCTAAGCACATCAAGGTTGAACAAGGGCAGCCGAAGTAATGAGTTAGAGGAGAAGACCGAGCTAAGGATAGTTCGGCCTTCTATGTGGCTCAGCAGAGCCAGTGTTATTTCGGTCATGTTATAGTTCGGCCATGAAGGAAACCATCCCACTTGGTTTAAGCAGTGGGGAGGGTGTAAAAGGATAAGCATTATCCTTAGGAGAATGAATCCTAGGAGGACTCTGCATGGAGAAATACAAGTCCTACTAGGATTGTGCCGCGGGAAACTTATAAAAGCCCACAAGCATCACCTTGGAGGAGGTAATTGAACACAATCTTTCTGAGAACTTAGAGCTTTGTCTATTTGTCAAGTTTTCTGACTTAGGCATCGGAGAGGTTTCCGGCACACACCCGCCGGCTAGCTCACGTTTGTGTTTTCAGGTGACAAAGCGACGTCGTACGGAGGAGCGTGGACTTGGTCAACAGGATTATACGAGGAGAATTATTTCCTCCCCGTACAAGAGTTAAGGTATTTTAATTACATTTTTTAACTACACTTTAGAATACATTAGACAGAGCTTAAACAAGGATGATTAGATGGAATGATAAACGACTGACAAAAATAATATTTGTAAAGTTAATAAGTACTTTATTTGTTATAAAATGTCAAGGTAATACCGGAACAAGCTAGCCAGCCAATGAATTAAACGAAAATATGGTCCCTAACAAAATAGAATGGTTAAACAGATTTTGTGCAAGGTTTCTCAACATATTTCGGTATTTTTTTCTGTTTGAGAAAGATACATTTCTAACCATTACTTGTAACTTAATTTTGATGCTTGGAACTGGAAACTACATTGCACGTAGAAGCTAACATCAACTGTTGCAATGATATTGAAAATTATGCTAATAGATAAGAAATATTAAATAGGCAGGAGATTACTCACATTAGGACCAATAATGCAAAGTCCACCAATCAGATTTGCCAATCCCATAGCTACAATGTTCACTGTGGCAACACAAGACAAGATTGTGAGCAATGTAAACTATTACCTCTAAATCAAATGTCAAACACTTCTATAAACAGCTTTAACCTCAATTATATCAAATCTACTAATCCTCCAATCATAAGTTAAAAGAACAGAAAAATGGTTATAAAATCACTATAATCTGCATGAGAAACTTTTGCAACTATCCTAGAAGTGATATGCTAATATTTATTCATGGATCCAAAATTAGACTGTCATGGATGGTAAAACAATTTATTAGTAAATGTCATGCTAGTAGATCCTAAAATATGTGTACATGTTATATTTAGTGCAGTTTATAAACTGATAACCATTTATTCAGGTAAGCAGAGAAATATGTTAGTGTCAGTTTGGTTACCATACAATTAAAATGGAAATATATTATGCCATAAGAAACTTCCATACCTAGCAAAAACAAATGTATAAAATCTCATTCCTATTTCCTACTTTTGCATAACCAACCAAAAAGGAAAATGTGTGAAAAACTTACTTGTGGTGGCATCTGCAGCAGCTGCAGATGACACAACACTTAGGCTTGACATTGATTCCATTAACCCACCATAAACAACGCTCTTTAGGATTTCCAATGTTTTAGAACCTTCTTCATCTAAAGTTATTATAGAAGCTCCTCGCTCAATGGTCCCTGCATGTATTGGACAACTATGTCAAAATTATTTACCTACGTGCTCTGCGTGAGCGTTAAAAATGCATTAGATTTAATTACAATCAGCTAGTAATTTTTGTATCATTATGCTGATCATGAAAAACATTAATACACACACACACACACACACACACACATATATATGTATGTAATCCAGGCCTTTAACCATTACCCACAGTCTAAAAGTTAAAAGTCAAAACTCAACTTTTTTCATATACAAGAAACTTGCGAAGAAGACCTTTCTCATAAATTTAATATAAATTATTCACCAATAAGCCCCATCTTCTGCTGGTGCTTAGTTGTGATTTTATCTTCCAAAAAAAAATACAGAAGAAAATCTCCAGTAAGCTGCAGTCAGGTTAAGCAAGCTCGCCGTATGATCTCCAAGTCAAAGAACTAGGCATTAAAATTTTCAACCCAATGAATTTGGGACTTGTTGCAGCCTAAGACCGTCTCATGTTAGTGTATAATGAATGGCTAATCCATTTCTTAGTTTAAACTAATAAAATGCAAAAGTGACATGCATGAAATGCAAAAGCAGATATAAAATAAAACTGAAACAGTATAGCACAGATGGAGGTTGTTAGTGGGAAATTAGTGTAGAATTCATCACTAGTAATCTCTCTGTCTCCAGTTTGATGACCCTCTGATTTTGTGGAAAGTTTATCATCTGCACAAGTTTTAGTGTTCTATTCAGCATGCATGAAAAACACAACTACCTAAAACCAATGATTCGATAACATCAACTGTTTAGCATCTACAACAAAACAATTTTTATGTTTATGCATACCTAATGAGGAGCTAATTCGTATGAGTCCAGATCCCCTCCTTGAGCCTCCTCCTTCATTCCCTCCTTGCAGGGGCCTTCGGGTCCACTTTGAGGCCTAGTTTTGATAATCCGAACCGTTCATATTTTTAGATTTATTCAGTATATTATACCTGTAAAAAATCAAGTTGATCGGATATCAGAAAGTATGCGTTCAGAAAATTGGGACTACAAACTATTTTTTAATAAACAGTTTTCCGAACACATACTTTATGATATTCGATCAACTTGATTTTTTACAGGTATGATATACTGAATAAATCTAAAAATATGAACGGTTCGGATTATCAAAACTGGGCCTCAAAGTGGACCCGAAAGCCCCTACAAGGAGGGAATGAAGGAGGGGCCTCAAGGGGAGGATCCCAATTCAATTCGTATTGCCATAAATTGATGAGAAATGTGGAAAACATGTGAATGTATACGTCACATATTATATGCATGAACACAGAGAGAGAAAGAGAGAGAGAGAGAGCCAACCTCCCTTTGTTAGGAAAGTAGTTGTTAGTAACAATTATCAGAAATTTTCTTCCTTAAGAGCACTAGACTTGTAATTTAGGTTTTAATTGCATCACCTGATCCCTCTTCTATGTTGATTGCATGATCTCCACGACCTCCAGGTGGTACAACTCTGTTGGTTGAAGGAGCAGGTTCACACACTGCTGTACCAGGTGACACAGATTCGTGTGATGGTGCTTCAGTTTCTGCATAACCATAACAAGCAAATAGGCCAAAAAACAGAAGCATTAGAAGAAGATTTGTGTAGTCTCTAACTTCTGTATACACCTAAAGGTATGATTTTAAATCATTTTTTCAAACTTTTCATAGTATTTTAAATGCCCTGCTTATCTTGACAATGACACCCCCCCTCTGGATGCACATAGCACTCACCCAGCTAGCCTGAAATAGTATGAAATGATAAACCAGAGACTCCTGTTGTTAACCCAAAAGAGCAAATTCGAAGAAGGAAAGCACAAATATACAAGGACATTCATCCATTGTCTGAAGCAACATTTTATGCGTCTAGAAATTTTGAATGCGAGAGATAAAGAGTAATTAACTAGTTGCAACAAATAGTGGAAGTAGATGCTCGAAACTAATTGATTGTATTGATTATTGCTAGTTAAAAGTTCTGAAAGAGTTGAATATGAATAAAGGGCCGCAGATGATATTTTGGTGTATTTATATGCACAACAATGATTCATCCCACTAAAAATATCACCACTAATAGCACTAATACATTAAAAAAATAAAAAAAATAAAAAAAAATTACAACTCCAAGACTAAAACATCACATCATTCATGGCGGGACCCACTGCCACCTAATTAGTGGGAGCACTAATTAGTGCTCCCAAGCATTTTTCTTTATATGCATATTTTATAGTGGATTGGTATAGTCATTTATATGTAGTATTTTAAGTAAAACTGGATTAGAGTTTGCACAATGGCAAATATTTTTGGAGCATACATTGGGCCTTGCTTTGGACATACGAGATCTTAACTTTCTTTTATTTTTGGACCCATAATGGGATTAGTGATTTTTATACACACAATAGAAGCCCCCTACCCTCATCCCATATATATAATAACTATGGCTGGCCTATTAAGTCATATTAGTACTGATGATAACAAAAGGGAACATAGCGTAGTTCACTTCTCTCTCTCTCTCTCTCTCTATATATATATATATATATTTGTTCTATACGAAAACTGAAATTCTCTTTTCAGATTGCAGTAGACAACTCAAAGCTTCATCAACTCAGCAGCCATGACTGATTCTTGGAGTATCACCGATATGTTTGGCTCATATTAGATTAGTCATGTCATGAACTGAAGCATGTTTAAATCTATTATAAGATGAGATTCCTGACCATACTCAACGTCTCATATGTGACGCAAGTGGAATGATTTCCGGCTATGGCAGATGTTGGCTGAGGATTTTGTTCGTTCATAAAAACGAGGAACATGTCAAAAAACCTCCCTGCTTAACAAATTTTTAACTTTAATCAACATTGTAGTCCAGAAAGAATGCTATCACCATAGATTAGTCAAGAAAATGAAGAAAATGAGTGTGTGAAAGGATAAAATTTCAAGTTTGAACAGTATGTAATAGTTGAACTATTCGTGTAGTTCTTAGTTACGTATAATTCCTAGGGCTTCTTCTGTTTGAATTAACAAAAGTGGAAAGAAAAATGTATTTCCACTTTACAAGTCAGAGATCAGAAAAATTCTAGTTTGGCAGACCCAACCAACAGAATTTACTTTTCTTTGGAGGATTGCCATTAGACAATAAAAATGAAGTTGAGGAAAGAGGATTTCCACTTTCCAAGTCAGAGATCATAAAAGTGATGTTGCAGATGACATATTACCTTGCTGCTGATTCACCATTTTGCCATCTGTGAAAATAGAGTAAAGATTTGCATCTATTGCAGTTGATATCTCGTGTGAATTTCATTCGTCTGCAAACGCATTTTGTCTTCGAAAAAATGCTATTCATATTCATATTCATTTATTGAAAATCAAAATGCCCATCACTTTGTTTCATTCTTTTGTTTCCGAAAACACGAAAAAAAAAAAAAACGAATAAAACAAAAACACAACCAAAACCAAGTAGGAAGGCAGGGCAGAAGTCGTACCTTCGGGAATGAAAATGCTGAAGCAGGAGAAGCATCCGAACAGATTACATGGCTTAGTCCTTGTCTTTTTACGAAGAACAACTTTGGTAATGCGAAAATTACATTTAGGACAGTGCACACTGTGCTGATCTAACTTCTCTACAACCCTCCCAAATTCAAATTCTATGCTTTCATCGCATTCTTTATGATCGAGTCTGTTAATGTTGACAAGTTCTTTTGTTGCTTCACTTAACAGTTTGAAAAGCATGTACTCTTCTTCACATGAAATTTCATGCTTCACAGTTTCCTCATCTTGATTTGTAATGACACTTCTCAGGATCTTTTGGATGTCTATTTTTTTTAGTTTTACATCCAATTCTTCTTCTTCTCTGGTAATCTCATTAGCCATAGAACGAGAGGAATCCACTGTAGTAGAATAAGTTTCAGAAGATGTTATTTCAGGAGGTTTAGTACCTGCTGCAACCATGAAGCACATGTCCAGCATTTTAATTTAGGGGACAAACTTCTAAAATTGATGAATTATGACATAATTTTCTATTGGCATAAAAAGTGAAACAAACATTAAAACATATAAATAGACATTTTTTATTTGGTAAATTACAATACCCCTCTTCAAATTTGCTTAAAATATATGTTATTCCCATATGATTTTGAAAATTACAAATCTCTCGTTATAATTTGTCATTTGATAGAGTTGACAGAAAAAAATGAAATTAGCTGTTTTTCGATACAACAATGAAATAACTAGAAGTATTAATTGAAATATATTGCTGACATCTTTAGAAATTGTTAATGAACTTTATGGTTGATTAATAAAGAGGTTATTTGTTGTGCGATTATAAATTTTAAGGGATGTAATGTAATTTTTAAAATTATAAAGGCAATTAATATTTTAAACAAAGTTTAGAGAGTGTATTTGTAATTTATTCAATAAATTAAGTGTAACAAACTAGATTATCCATACACATTTATGGAAAGATAAAGAGACCTATTATATGTCACCATTTTATAAAACTATACTCATGATTAGCTTCCTTATTTGAAAATAATTACTAAGCAATTAATAAAAACAAATTCGTGCTACATAATCTGATGATGTAAAATGGTGAAAAGAACTGGTGAATATATAGGTTATGTTTGATTTTTTTTTTTTTTTTTTTTTTTTATTTTTGATAATCGAAGTAAAAAAAAAAAAAATTGTTTGCTTCTTAATAATTAATTTTTTTTTCACTTATATACCTTATAAAAAATATTACATATAATCTAACTTCTGCCTCATAAGTTACACGCATAAACTGAACCAAATACTAATACAGAAAAAAATAAATTATGAAAAATGCTTGGGAACACTAAAAAGGGATCACTAAAGGGAGCACTAATGATGTGGCAGTGGGCTCCGCCCACTTTCTATGCCTTGTTTTTATTTTTTTATTATTTTTTTTGTCATCCCCAATGTATTAGTGCTATTAATGGTGTATTTTTTAGTGGTCTAAATCATTGTTGATAAATTATAGACCGCACAGCTCTATAAACTGCATGAAACAGCACATATAGTAGCCATACCTCCAATCTCTTCCATGTTCTCCGGTACACTTCCATTGACCTCTTCTTTATCAGCAGTAATAGTGTCCTGATGATGCCGAGGCTGTCACTGCCACCATTGCAAACAGACTTCCTCCACCACCTCCTTCGCCACCCTCCATATCTTCACCACCACTGCTTTCATCTCCACCACCACCTCTTACGTTTCTTGAAACTGAGTTGCAGTAACTAGCTCATTTCTTGCATTGCTTTTATAACCAAAACTTTAAGGCAGTGACTAATGGGAAAATAATTAACAAAGACTTAAAAGGGTGGTTGTTTAGGCATATGTGAATATGCATTGTGATTAACAAATAAAAATAAATATGATAATCAATCATCCATGTGAGTTGTTGTGCTTCAGTTATGTTGGTAATTAATTAATTAATTAACTTGTCAAATTTACAAACCATTGTGTTAGAGCATCCGCATCAGCATAGCCAAAATAACAAAAAGGTAAAATATAACTAGTAAATCACAAAATCGTTCCTCCATCAATCTCAACAAATTTTTTCTAAATGAACTTTTTGTTAAATTTGCTACAGTATCTCAACAATTTTGTTGAGGTACTGTTCATTACTTACATGATTTTTTATTATATTTTCTGGAGCAAAACTGGGCCAAAATTTTTAAACCGGCCGTCCACCCTGATGTCTTCCCGGATATCCTACCGAATGTCCCGTGAGTAGTTATAGCAGAAAAAGAAAAATATCCAAAATTAGCCTAACCGGTCGACCAGCCAGTCAACCGGTCAATGGATTTTTTTTTTTTTTGTTGCACTTTTTAAGAATTGTTTGGATGGCATCTCATCAATTAATAAAAAAAGAAAGAATAACAAATACAATAAGAAATTAATATTTTAATAAGATTGAGTTAGAATAGAGAGTTTGATATAGTGAATACTAAAAAGGTGACTAGTTAAAACAGCAAAAGTGGATTTTGGGTTATAATAATTTGACTAAAAATTTGAAGAAGCTGATCCAACTGCTCTTACGGATCTTCTCTAACCAAAATCTCTCTCTAGTGCAGTGCATTTCTAGTGGTGGCGCCACTAATGTTTCGAGCCCCGTTTGTTTTGGGTGTAGAGGGTGGGATGGGATAAGGATGGAGATGGGACTCATTCAGTGTTGTGTTTGTTTGTAGAGTTGGGAAAGAGATTAGGATGGAAGAGGAGATTGTTGGAAGGGAGATTAGGATGGAGGAGGTGGAAGTGGTATTAGAAAAATAGTGAGAGAACTAGAATTTTTTTTTATTTTTTATTTTTTACATGTTGGGCATTTTTTTTAACATTAATGTTTAATTTTTTGTAATTTTTATTTGTTTTATTATTTTATATAAAAATAATTTAACAATTCCTACCCCAACAACTATCATCAAAATAAACACAATTTTACTTAATCCCCTCTCTTTCAATCCCCTCACTAACAATTCTCTCACTATTAATCTCCTCACTATGAATTCTCTTCATTCTATCTCTGAAAATAAATGAGGCTTTAGAGTATTCACTAGAATAACTGAAATAAATAAATAAATTGTTAAATAACAATAAGATATATTTTGGATAACATTTTACTTTTATAAATTTTTGTGAACGAACCATTTATCACCTCTCCAAAAAATTTAAAAAAAAATTCGGGCACACCTTGATGCCGCTTTGTTATTTTGAAATTTATTTTGAACATCAAGAATTGTACCTCCATAGATTAGGATTTTTAAGTGTGATATTTTCTTGATTTTTGTAGTGGTGATTTGAACCCACTTGATTAAAATTTTGAATACCTCACTCCATGTATCTTATTAGGAGACTAGATTAGAAGTTGGGTTTTGTCCACATACAACTCCGTTGTATTTGTTTGAGTTATTTTTTGTGTTTTGTGGGTTTGTGTTGTGTTTGTATGGTTGTGTGTTGGACTTTCTTTCATAATTGAATGCATAGTTCGATATCATTCTCATAATATTTGTAATTTATCTTCTATAATTAACAGAAAGAAAAAATTACTTGACAACAATTCTTAGAATTATTTGCTACTGCACAATATGATAAGAATTTTATAACATTAGAATTTTGAAATAAAATCATTCGGCTAAAAATGATTAAATGAGAAACATGAATTTTTTTAAAACAAAAGATCTCGTACCTACCCAAGTGCTGTAAAACCTCTACTTCTTGACGTAGGAAAAATAAAAATGCTTGGGACTCCCAAAGTTGAGGATTTTCATGACCTCCAAAATGATATGAACTAATCATGTATTTTTGTTTTTTTGTTTTTTTTTTCCTTTCCTTCCTGGACCCATCACAGGTGAGTGAGGGTTGTGGGGGTTACATTTTTTGGGGGTCTCTAGCATTATTGGTAGGAAAAAATAATACATAAATGATTTTTTTTTTCACTAAAATTTATTATTCACTAAATTCAAACTGTTAAATTCATTTGTATTTATTTATTTATTTATATGTTAGTATAAGTAAGGCAATAATTGAACATGGTTGTTGGATTCGCTTCCAGTGTTCACATTTGTTTCTCCAAATCAATGAATACAAAAATGGTGGTGGTACAAGTATAATAAATACTCCCTCCGTCCCAAATTAATGGTCCCTTTTGGGGAATCCAACTTTTTTTTGTAGTACAATTATTGTACTTTTAAAAAGTTGGTTTTCCAAAATTACCCTTTGATAGTACACCTTTTTGGGAATATCAATGTCATAATTGTACTTTTTATATTATTTATGAATTTAAAAGAAGGACAAAATGGGAAATTTATATTATTTTTGTACTTGATTTTTGAAGAGGGACAAATATTTTAGGACAATAAAAAATGGAATAAGGGACTAATATTATGGGACGGAGGGAGTAAATATTTAGAGAGAGTTGACATTTAATAAATATTTAAATAATTTTCATGTGAAGTTTGCATTCATATTTCTGGATAATTATTTAATAATCTTAAAATATAAATACGTGATATTTTATAATATTATGATTGATAGAGAAGGTGAATAGGTGAGATATTATATTGGATGATTGATGAACATGGGAAGACAGAATAAATTATGATTGATTAGGAGCACGGATACGTGATACTCCTGAAATAGCCTATATGTAACAATCAACTCCTTGATTAATTAAGTTAATCATATCACAGTCCATTTGACGTTATATTTTAATATTTATTGACTTGTCCTTATTTTTATATTATTGTTAAACAGACTTTTAATAATCTTAAATTACTAACCGGTCACTTCTCTAATCCTTAGGGTAGAGATTGGATCTTGACACTATAGTTTCCCCACATTTTCTCGTCACTCTCTCTAATTATGATGACATCATGGCCTGACGTGGGCTTTATACCTGCGAACCTTAGTTTTTGAGAAAATAACAATTAAGAGGAAGTTTTTTTTAAAAAATAATAATAATAATTAATTTTACATATGCTAACAATTTTAATAAAAATACAAATAGTTAAATGTGATTGGTTATTAAAAAAAATCATTATGTTTGATTTCAATTTTTTGAATTTAATTTTTTGAAAATTGATTTTTATTTTTTTATTTTTAGTGAATATTTTTAAAATTTTACTTAATTTTTTTATCTTTTTAAATGCACCTTACTTAGATATATCTAAAAAATAAAATATGTACAAAAAAATATTTTAAAAAATTAATAAATACATAAGAATACGAAAAATGTACCAAATTTTTGAATTTTTTTTTATATTTGTGGCTTTAGTAAATTTTTTAAAGAATTTTCACAAATATTATACTTTTTAAGAGTATTTATGTTAGGTGTATTTAAAAATTAAAAAAAAATAGCTTAAATATTAAAAAAATTAGTAAAAATAAAAAAAATATCGAAAATAAAAAATTTTAATTTTCTAAAAAGTGAATCCTAAATTAAGAAATCAAACAAGCTGAATAATATGTAAACCTTCAATGATATTTGGATATAGATGCTTTTAGTAAGATTTTAAGTAGATATAGTATTGCTTTTTTTTAAAAAAAAAAATTATTTAAGTGGATGTTTGAAAAATTATTTTCAAATTAATGATAAACTTTACAAATATTAAAAAGTAAAATTATAAAATTTTTCATTGTTTAGTAATTAATTTTTTATCACATGTGATTTTTTGTATAAAAAAATTCAAAACATTGACAAAATTTACAAATTTTAATAATTAAAATGATAAATTTTTTCATCAATCTATAATTATTTTGGAAAGGTTTCACTAATGTATAATTTTTTTAACATTATTTGGTGATCTAAGCGCGTCACGTGACAGTGTCCCTCACCGATCACTATATCTGTTATTATTCTCTCATAATTCAATACAAAATCATGATCTCATTTCCATAACACACATGGACCACCACGTAACTATGCTTTCAGACTACCAAATAATTTCTCGACTTTGGGTAGTTTGCTGCTCCCAATAATCGAGTAGTCAATGTAGAATGCAGGCATGTGTTTAATGCTTTTCAATTTTGATCCTTTTTTTCCCATCAATGTACATAAAAAATGAGAACATAATTTATTTATTTTTTTTCACATTTTCTCTCACGCTTAAATAAGTTTTATTTTTATTTTTTTAGAAAAAAGACAGATATTTAAAGGAAAATAAAAGAATAAACCATATATAAAAGCAAAGAGAAAAGTTAGGGATTATGCAAATTTTTTCATGAAAATAATCATGAAAGATTTATGATTCTTAAATTACCTTGATTAGTGTGTGGTGCTTTATTTTAAATATAATCTAAGGGTCACAAATCTTTCATGATTATTTTCATGAAAGATTTTTCATGATACCTAGTATTGCTGAAAAGTAAATAGTCCTTTCACTCACCAAATTCATGAACATAGAATAAAAAAAAAAAATAAAGATAAAAAAATAAAAAGAGAGAAGAAATTCAGGATTGACATAACTTGTTTATGAACTGATCGAGATCACTTGGCCAATTTGAAGAGTATGAAATGAGATTAATAAGCTCACATTTCTTCTCTTTTCTTTTTAATTTTTTTACTTTTTCACATAATCTAATTCTGGAAGGAAAAAAAAAAAACTATTAAATATACAATCAAAAACAAAAAAAAATCAACTTTTTAAATTATTTTTGTCTTTGCACTCTTTTTTTTCCATCTGAATATCATTTCAACCGGGTCAAAACTGGAAGAATCTC